CGATCTGCAATAGTGTAAAGCATTATAATTTGGAATGTTAAAGAGAGATGTCAGCTCATCAGTCAACCAGGTTTCAGAAAATACTAATACAGGAAAATTCATGATTTAACAGAGAAAGAAAATGATAAAGTGGCTCATAATTTTTAGCAAGACTCCAGATGTTTAAATGAAAAGTAGAGAAATGCATTGGTTGGGGGTTTGGAATATCAAGTAGCAAACGATTAAATTGATCAGTACTAAAGTAGTCACAAGATAGTGACCCAGGGGTTAGAGAACAAAAGAATTTGAATCAGGATCAAGCTACTCCATAAATTTAGAGACACTACGTAGGCTCAGATTAAAAGGATGAAAATGCATATGATTTGAGGCAATTTTTAACCCAACTTTACATTTGATATTCTCAACCAAGGCATCATCATCAATATCATGATATGGGAATATGGAGAGACACTCAGAACAAGTCCAAGAGCTCCATTAATTCATTTCACATCATTAATAGGTGTGCATCTCAGCAAGTACAACAACAGTTGGATTAGAAAGGATGTCATGGCAGTGATGACAGTCCATTAAAGGGTATAGGAAGGATCATGTCTAGACCAATATACTGAGAAAAATATTGAGATACATAATGAATGTGAAAAACTGTGTGTGTGTGTGTGTGTGTGTGTGTGTGTGTGTGTGTGTGCGCGCGTGCGTGCTGGTTCAGAAGGGTTTTCCAGTCCAGTATTGTTTTCGTGACTGTAAATGTGTAGCAATCAATTGACCCGTAGAATGAGCAGAGATAAGCATAAGTTCTTTGGTCTTGAAATCGATATGGGGCTTAAATGTGAGTTTGGGATCTAACCAAATTCCAAGATGCCTAAATGAATCAACACTGTCTAGGGGTGAGCTATCACTGAAGGTGATGGGAAGATTGGAGGATGAGGTCAAGTGTATTGTGTACCAAAAACCATGCTGCAGGACTTCTTTTTGTTGTGGAACCAATTTTAAACAGTTAAAATTAAATTGTAAAACCTTCTAAATTTGAGATATGCTGGAGTGGGAGGTGTATAGAACTGTCATCAGCATCAAGATGGACAAGAGAACCAGTGCAGAGCATTCTAATTTTAAACCCATGGAAAATAACTTAAAGAGGAAAAGGTAGTGATCGATCCTATCAAAAGCTTTGGAAAATTCAATGAAGATTGCACCATTGAGTTGGCTTTTACCAAATGAGGAGAAACATTGTTAGTGAATTAAAGATAAGCTGTTGTAGTGGAGAAATTGGGTCTGAAGCCAGATTGAAATGGAGACAGAACATAGTATTGATTGATATACTGTTAAATACTGATATACTGATTGAGATAACTGTTTAAAAACATGTTTCACAAAAAAATTTAGCAGTGGACCAAATTATAGAGATTAGACGCTTATTATTCATGTCTGTTGGATGTCCTTCCAGAGCTAGGGAACTGAGCATGTTGATAACCTCAGACAAATTAAATAGTTCAGGAAGTGGGTAGATTAAAACATGAGCAGCAGATTTAAAAAAAAATTAGCTTCCAGACCATCTGGAAAACATCAGCAGGCAGGATGGAGGCAGATAGAGGCAGTAGATGCAGTAGATGCTAGTGTTAGCAATAGATGAGGTTTTATGGCTTGGCTTAAGCTACCAGGGGACAAAACTTAAAGGTGAGATCTGTAATAATAGCTGTCTTTGATATTGTGTAGGTCAAAGTAGAGAATCCCCAAAAAGCAGTGACCAGAGATTATTAGTTGGATAGATAGCGCTGGATAGACCTGCAGCCCTCAGTTAATGGTTCAGAGGCTGCAACCAGGGGACAGCACCTTCGCAACATGGCTCTATAAGCTTGAGCTGTTGGTAGAAACAGGGTTTCCCCTACATGCAATTGATCATGGTGCACCGCCACAGCTAAATAAAAGCCGCCAAACCTAAAAAAAAAAAAAAAGTTTTTATCTCACATAGTTCTGCCTCGGACTCTTATGTATCAGCAGTGTTTCCCCTATGTTGATTCAGCGGCGGTGTGCCGTGCGCGCTATTGAAATTTCACATGATCATTAATATCTACTCGCACTGTGTGAGCACAACAACACACATTATTTCTGACTTGTGAGTCATCAAGGAGTGCATCAAATCCTGTCGGACCCTCTTCTATCAACGTTGAAGGTAACGTTCAAGCTTATACACGGTCGATATAGCGAGTAGCATTAATAGCCTCAGTAGCATTATTAACAATGCGGCACTAATGATTTCTACTCGCACTGTGTGAGGACAATAATAATAATAATAACTTTATTTATATAGCACTTTTAAAAACAGAAGTGTACAAATTGCTTTGACAACAGTTGCAAAGTAGAGAACATCAGCACATAAAAATAATAACAAATGAAAACAAAAGCTCAGTTAAAAACAAGGCCTCCGAATTGAAGGTCAGTTTCATTTTTCATAAGAAACCCAGGCAATACAAGAATCCTACAACATAAAATGAGACCTTGAGGACCAAAATAAAAACATAACATAGGTAAGAAGAAGAAATGAAATAGAAAAGGGGGGCAGAAAGCAGGAAACAGGATAGTAAATGTAAAAGAAGATACTAATTATGACAATACAATTATTATAAAATAATGATGGTAATTCAATTCAATTCAGCTTTATTTATATGGCACTTTTCGTACATAAGGAAATGCAATTCAAAGTGCCTCACAGAGGCTAAAAACAACAATGAAGACAAAAACCCAACCCTTCCACCCACGCATACACCCATGGACCCACATGCACACAAAGACACACACCCACCCTCACTCATCCACACATACACACACACACACAACCGCACACAATGTGAGAATTTACAATATAAGTTAAAGAGACATGGCCTGACACCAAGACATTACATGAGGAAAAAGCTACCTTTAGGAAACACTGGAGATAAAAATAGAGATAAAAATGGTGAAAAGAGTAAAGCCTGATGGACTAAAGTAAAAAAAATAATAGTAACAATAATACAATAATAACAATAATATAATAGTAACAAATAAATAAAAGGGGTAAAAGAAGTAAAAACCTGTGACAGGAAATAAAAAAAAAAGGCTAAGAACAAAGATAATGAATAGAATGACATAAAATAAACATTAAGAACTTTGATTAAAATTAACATTTGTAATAAGAGAAATCTAAAATGGCAATTAGTAAAAAGCCTGGTTAAAAAAGTGAGTCTTGAACCTCTTCTTAAAAATATCAACAGTCGATAAAATGTAATAATAAAAATGAGCAGGAAAAAACAATAAAATCAATAAAGGACCTTAAAGGTAAAATAAGAAAAGATTATAAGTAAAACAAAGGCTAAAAGGATAGTAAGTCGAAATAAGATGTAAATGCAGAAATAAAAGAGAAAAAGAGAAAAGATGGCATCACATAAAAGCAAGTCCGTAAAAGTGAGTTTTTAAATTTGACTTAAAAGAAGCGACAGTCTGTGCATGCCTTATCTCCTCTGGTAGGTCGTTCCAAAGTCGAGGAGCTCTAATGGAGAAAGCTCTATCGCCTTTAGTTTTGAGCCTCGACTTTGGAATGACCAGGAGGCCTTTGCCAGAGGATCTGAGGCTGCAAGTTGGCTCATAAGGTATTAAAAGCTCTAAAATGTAGCTTGTCCTTTGAGCACTTCAAAAGTAATCAATAAAATTTTAAAATCAATTCTAAAACTGACAGGAAGCCAGTGAAGGGAGGCTAAAATTGGAGTGATGTGATGCCATCTACTAAAACCAGTTAAAAGCCTAGCTGCTGCATTCTGAACTAGTTGGAGGCGGGAGAGTGATTTCTTGTTTAAACCAGGGAGGAGAGAGTTACAATAGTCCAGTCTTGAGAAAATGAAAGTGTGGATTTTTTTTTTCGAGATCTGGTGGGGTGAGTATCTGTTTAATCTTTGCAATAGAACACAGGTGAAGGAAACAGGACTGGACAATCTTGTTGATATGGGTGGAGAAGGTGAGGTCTGAATCAAATATTACTCCCAGATTTCTGGCTGTTGGTTTGATGATTGTTGAATATGGACTGAGACAAGACTGTATGAGAGGGGAATTTTGTGTGTCACAGAGAATTATTTCAGATTTTGAATAATTTAATTGAAGGAAATTTTCTGCCATCCAACAGTTAATGTCACTTAGACAGTCCATGACAGTAGCTAGGCCTCTTGGGTCCTCAGGTCTCAAAGGGAGGTATATCTGTGTGTCGTCTGCATAGCAGTGAAAGAAGACTTGGTGGCGCTGAATTAATTGGCCGAGGGGCAGCATGTAGATAGAAAATAAAATTGGACCTAAAACTGAACCTTGCGGTACACCACATGCAATGGCAGAAGTAGAGGAGGTGTGATTGCCTATGGTGACCGCAAAGGTTCGCTCTAAAAGATACGACTGAAACCAGCTAAGTGCAGTGCCCCTGATACCCACCCAGTTTTTAAGACGCTCAATTAAAATAGCATGATTAACTGTATCAAAAGCTGCACTGAGATCTAAAAGAATTAAAATTGAGCCCTCCCCTCTATCTGCTGCTAAAAGAAGGTCATTGGGCACACGGAGGAGGGCAGTCTGAGTGCTGTGACCTGCTCTAAAACCAGACTGAAATTTCTCAAAGAGGTTGTATTCAGACATAAAGCCTAAAAGCTGTTTAGAAACCACCGTCTCTATAAGTTTGGATAAAAATGAAAGTTTTAAGATTGGTCTAAAATAGTTAAAATCAGAGGGGTCAAGGTTTGGCTTCTTTATAAGGGGTTGGACCACAGCGTGTTTAAAAGCAGAGGAAAATACTCCCTCAACTAGAGAGCTGTTCATGATGGATAAAATGCTTGGCCCAAACCATGTTAAAAACCTCTTTGAGAAATCTGGTGGGGATAAAATCAGGACAGCACGTAGCTGGTTTTATGTGGGCTAAAATATCAGATAAAAAGGGTAAGGACACCGGCTCAAAACTACTATAATAGTGCTTAACTTCACGACTTAAGAATACAGGGAGACTGGGAGGGGTGATTTGATGCCTGATGTCCATAACCTTGTTAAAATCTTAAATAAAACTCTGGGGTTTGAATAATTAGCTAAAATCAAATTTGAATAAAATGCTGCCCTTGCATCCTTAACTGCCTTCTGGTAATTTTTCATGAAGTCTCTCCGGATTTCAAGGTAAACCACCAGACCAGTTTTCTTCCATTTATGTTCATTTCTTCGACATGCTCTCTTTAGTTCATGTGTGACCTCTGTAAGCCAGGGCTGGGTTTTTTTGTTTGTAGCTCCTCTGAAAAAGAAAAGATCAGAGTCCAGGACAATTCCAACATACTGTTAAAAAGAGAGACAAGCTCTTCAGTGTTAAATACTGGATTAAACTCTGGGTTGAAGGCAGTTAAAGATGCAGAGATAAAGAGCTCCAAAAACTTGCTAGCAGACGATGCTTTAAAAACCCTTCTAAAAACAGGAGTATGATCAGTAGAAGAAGGCTGGGATAAAGCCATGGAGAATAAAACCAGTTTGTGATCTGACACATAGATATCCTTAGTTAAAAACTCCCCAGGACTAAGTCCAGTAAATAATACCAAATCTAGGCAATGTCCCTTTACATGAGTTGGTTCCTGTATTGCCTGGGTAAGATTAAAAGAGTCCAGAGTTTCAATAAAATCAACAGTCAGGGGTTGTGAGGGACGACAGACATGCACATTAAAATCACCCAAAATAAAAATTTTGTCATACAAAACAGAGCCTGCTGTTTCCACTCTCGCAGCTGTTCCCCCTTCACCCGCCAGGTCTGCTGCTGCTCCTCCTTCACCGTCGGCTGCTTGGCCTCCACCCTCCATCTCCGATGTCTCCTGGGCTCGGCTGAGGACCAAACCTAAGGCTCCTTTGAGCTCCACTCCATCTCAGGAGCACTGGTCTGTGGTCAGCTCCCGTGCCAGCAAACTGAAGAGCCCACCGCAGACCCCGCTTTTCCAACTTCACACAGCTAATAGATTTGACATCCTAGATCCCAACGATTTCCCCCCTTCCCAACTGAGTCACAGCCCACCTCCCTGAAGTCCCAGAAGTCCCGCAGTACCCTCTCTCCCCCAGTCCTCGCTCTCAGCTCAGCCAAGCCCACCTACCCTGCCCCTCGTCGCCGCTCCATACCGCTCCTCACGCCAGCACCGCAGAGAGCTCCGGCTCGCCCCCCCCTCCGACCGCCCCGCTCCTTCCCCCCCACTGTCGTTGGTGGATACAGAAGCAACCCGCTCGGTGGAAATAGCTGGGCAGATAACTGTAATAATCGTTCACTTGCGGATAAAAGCACCATAATTGGCACACATACTCCTTAGAAGTTGCTCTTTTGATATTTCCATCTGGCCAAATGAAAATTCAATATGGCGGCCATTTTTCAAGATGGCCACCATTGAAAATACAGTAATATTGCATTTTGCAATAAAATCCCATAGATTTGTCCTATTTGGATGAACTTGGTGTCAAATCATACATTTTCCACTAGCTCTAGGGGTCATTGAGACACACAAAGTGCCCCACCACGATAAGGTGGTGATCCTACTGAGGCAGGTTTTTTTTTTTTTTTTTTTTTTACATGTAGGCTTTTTGGATGAGTAGGCTTTTACTACAGCGTTTCTAAACCTCACACCTGCAGCTGCACAATGCTGTGCAGGTCAGACCAAAGCAGTAACATTTGTGTGGCAGGCAGCACCTTGCTGCTGTTGAATGCAGCTCTCCCTCCTCCTCTAACCCCTCCCTTCCCCCATTGTGGCAGGCAGCACCTTGCTGCTGTTGAATGCAGCTCTCCCTCCTCCTCTAACCCCTCCCTTCCCCTAATCAGGTCAGCTGAATAAAAGGCAGCAGCTCACCTGCAGTCTGCCTTCTGCTCTGCTCAGAGTGCTGGTGTGTAGGGTGGCTGGTAACTTTTAATCTTTAGAGTTTTATGGTTGCTTTTAACAGCATTTCCTTTTTGTTTGTAGGTGGTAGACCTGCTGCTGTTTTGTTGCCCCCATTAACTGTCGTTATTTTTGCCTGGTTACTTTGGTTGTTTCTGCCCTTTTGATTTGTTTCTCCCCTTACTTGGTTTGTTTCTACCTCTAAGTTTGGTTGTTTTACCCAGTTACTCCCCCATTAGTTTGTATTCTCTTAGTTACCCTTAGTTGCTTTTCTCCTTAGTGATTCTAGTTTTACCAACTGGGTTCGCTGTTGCTGGTTTGTTTGTTTCTTTGGTTAATACTTTTATTTTATTTCAGAAGTTGAGCCCACTAGTTTGGGAGGCTAGGCACCCCGGGTGAGGGCCCTCCACCTTTTGCATGAGTTTGACACAGGGTCGCAAGACTACACCAATTTGTTTCTTTTTTTTTGAAGGTTTGAAGTGTGTGTGCTGTGCTTCACTTGGTGAGTATAAGGGAGCACTCCCCTGCACTTTCCCTCTGTAGTCTGCCTCCCTTCTGGTGGCCTTAGCTTATCTTAAGTTAACTTAGTTTGGGTTTCTTTGATTTAGTTTAAGTTGGGTTTATTGTACATTTTAACTGTTTTTAACTTTTGCAGAAGGCCTTGTTTTAAATTATTATAGAAATAAAATTAACCTTCTTGACCCTTATCGGTGTTTTGTTATGTTGTTTTAACTTTATCCCTTTCTTTCCCTCCTAGGTTAAATTTCTCAGTTATATTTAAGTTTAACTTCATTTTTGGTCTAATAAACATTTTGAAATATTTTGAACTCTGTCTCTGCCTCTTTCAGAATTTACCTGTGTTGCCTAATTCTTATTTTTGCTTTCTGTTATGATTTTAGTCTGAAAGTACAGTTTCCTGGGGTGCAAGTCCCCAGATGGCATTGCTGGTTGGAGACAATATTATCTCATTGTGAACAAAATAGCACCCCTTGCCACATTCGCATCGACCGCAGCATTCCAACTTGCATCCACACTTGGCCAGCTGCTGGCAACTCTCTGCAATGGGTGGGAGCTCTGTCCAAACAATCTGCCATGGATCTCCTTTCTTGTTCCAGCCCCAGTTGGCAGGACTATGTGTTTCTGGTTGACATACTATTGACTGACTCCAGATGCAGCCCGCTTGGTAGGATGCGCGCATGACATATTGCTTAAGTGCTGATCGAGTTGGAGGAGTGGCTTAGTACGGCCTCTGCTTCCGAGCAAACATGTCCAACCTTGCATCGTCGACACCTTCAGCTGTACTGGATCTGTCGTACAACATGACCACAAACTTCTCTAGGGTTTTCAGGTCTTCATCATCCAATACAGGTGGGTAATGGCTGAGTTTGCTGAAGACACTGGAAGCCTCATCACAAACATTCCCTTTGCCATGGAATGCTTCCAGTGAATGCATGGAAGAAGAGCATCCCTTTGCTCTTTTCTGCAAGAGTGCCACACAGGTCATGAACAGGAATCCACTTCAGGTTCTGTCTTTGGCCAAAGGCAACCCACAACTGCTGCAGACCGAGGTTCTGAAGTGCCTGCAGAACACTCACTGCGATGACCACAACATCTGTGTCGTTGGCTTTGACCATGATGACCTTGCTGCCTGCTTCTGTGGCATGCATGGCATGCACAAAGATCTGGGTGTCAGCTTCTTCATGACTGCATGGTGCCACCCCAGCCAGATTAATAGTAATGTTGTAAGAAAGTGTATGTGTCTCTCTCTCACACACACACTAAACCTCTAACAACATTAAGATATATGTTACCAACCATTTTACCCAAGTCGGACATAATGTAAACCTCATAAATACCAGAATATTAGGATTCTGGGACTGAAATATGGTACAAGGAATCCAGTAAGTAAGTCCATGGTTCCAAATTTGGATACTGCATAGTGGAAAATGTTTGATTTGACACCAAGATCATCCAAATAGGACAATTCTATGGGATTTTATTGCGAAATGCAATATTACTGTATTTTCAATGGTGGCCATCTTGAAAAATGGCCGCCATCTTGAATTTTCATTTGACCAGACGGAAATATCAAAAGAGCAACTCCTAAGGAGTATGTGTGCCAATTTTGGTGCTTTTATCCGCAAGTGAACGATTCTCCTGTAATATGCTGTTATCCGCCCTGCTAAAACTGTTCCTCTAGCTACTAGCTCCTCGAGTCCACTCCCGACTTCCTCTCGCCCCCTTTTTCCCCCATCCTCGTTGATCGTTGGTGACTACATTATCAGGAACACTCGCTTCTTTAACGCAATTACACACTGTCTCCCCGGGGCTACGTCTCCGACATTCTTGCGGTGCTCCCCCGTCTGCTACGCTTCCTGCCGCCCTCAGTCCAGAAAATAATAATCCATGTGGGAACAAATGAAAATTTTAATTTATTCTGGGACAGAGTTTCATTTTACAAATCTGACGGTCTCCATCCAAACAGGCGGGGCTGCTGCTTCCCATTGTGGCTATTCTCCCCCACGGCCGAGCCGGCTCCTCCCCCATCTGCTTTCTTCTTCAATGTCACACCTTCCTACTCCTTCTTGCTCAACAGCAATAAGATCCATCTGGTCCACTTCTCGTCACCCTCCACGCTTCACCAGCAAGGCTGTTAACCACAGTGTGTTAGGCCACTTAGCCTGGTCCGCTAACACCTCCACCTGCTCTGACAGCTCCTAACTCAACTTCGCTCTTCTCAACATCCGCTCACTGACCAACAAGGGACAACTCATCCAGGACATCATCACCGACAATAAACTGGACTTTCTCTGTTTAACCAAAACATGGCAACAGCCCAACAACTTCACCCAGCTGAACGAATCCACTCATAGTGGGTTTGTTTACATTTCACAACCCCGTGGCTCTGGCCAGGGGGGAGGTCTCGCAGTAATTCACCGCGAGAACTGGAAAGTCTTGCCGGTCTCTGTACCTGCTTCCAGCTCGTTAGAGTTCACTGTGTCCGAGCTGGCAGGTCCCACTCCAACCATCATTGCCACTGTTTACTGCCCCCCCCCCCCCAAACAGAACAGTGAATTTTTGAATGACTTTGCTGCCTTTCTCACCCATTTATCATCTCTCTCACCTAACAGATTAATACTGGGTGATTTCAATATCCACATGGACAATATCAACCTGACTCTCACCAACGACTTCACCTCCTGTTTAGAAAGTTTGGGCTGTCAGCAACATATCAATTTCCCCACACACTCCAAAGGACATATTCTGGATTTAATTTGTCTCCGCCCCCTGGTTCACCCCTGCTCTCCATCTCATGAAGGCTAAAGGTCGACAACTGGAATGCCTCTACAGGAAAACGGGTCTCACTATTCACAAGGAAATGTACAATAACCACATGTCAGTTTACAAGGACTCAATCACCAGCACCAAAGCACACTACTACTCCAGGATAATCACAGCCAATCAAGAAAACTCCAAAACACTCTTCTCTCTCCTCAACAATATCACCCAACCCCAAGAATCTCTCCCCTCTCACTGCTACACAGCCTCCTTCTGCAACTCCATCATTTCATTTTTCACTGAAAGAATCAAAAACATCCACCAGCACCTCGGATCAACCCCTCACCCCAGAATCTCAGCCGACTGGCACCCGCCCTCACACCCATTCTCCTCCTTCCATCTCCCCTCCCTCTCTGAGATCACTGAACTCATCCAGAAATCCAAACCATCCACCTGCCAACCTGACCCCCTCCCCACACAACTTGTTAAAGTCTGCTCCCCCTCCCTGGTCCCCCTCATCTCTGCCATCATCCACTTGTCTCTTACCACCGGAACTGTCCTCGCATCCCTCAAAACTGCTGCCATCACCCCAATTCTGAAAAAACCTGGTGCCTACTGTTCCAACTTCAACAACTTCTGACCCATATCCAACCTACCTTTCATCACCAAAATCCTCGAAAGAACAGTTGCCTCCCAACTCCATTCCTACCTATCCCACAATAACCTCTACGAACAGTTCCAGTCTGGTTTCTGCCCACTCTACAGCACAGAAACAGCACTCATCAAAATCACCAACGACCTTCTCATGGCAGCTGATTCTGGACTCCTCACCATCCTCATCCTCCTGGACCTATCTGCAGCTTTTGATACCATCTGTCACACCACCCTCCTCCACCGGTTTCGATACCATCTGTCACACCACCCTCCTCCACCGGCTATCCACCATTGGCATCACCCACACCCCGTTGAACTCGTTCACATCATACCTCTCTGGCCGCACTCAATACATCCAACTCAAGTCCCTCAAATCCACCCCCTCCCCCGTTACCTCTGGTGTGCCCCAGGGCTCTGTCCTGGGGCCTCTACTCTTCATCATCTACCTCCTTCCCCTTGGCAATATCTTCCGTAAACACAACATCCAGTTTCACTGTTATGCCGATGACACCCAGCTCTATCTCACCACCAAACCCCCCCTCTCTCCCACCCACCTCCCTTTCTGACTGCATCACTGAAATAAAAAACTGGTTCACCCAAAATTCCCTGAAATTAAACAGCAATAAAACCGAGGTCCTCCTATTTGGCACCAAATCCACCTTATCCAAAACCTACAGCTTATCTCTCATCTTATCTATCGACAACTCCACTGTTTCACCCTACCCCCAAGTCAAGAGCCTGGGTGTCATCCTGGACAGTACACTATCTTTTCAATTCCACATCAATAACATTACCCGGACTGCCTACTTCCACCTACGCAACATCAATCGCCGCCGCTCTTCCCTTACCCCCCACCTTGCCGCCATCCTTGTTCACAGTCTCGTCACTTCCCACCTGGATTATTGCAACTCTCTCCTTTTCGGCCTCCCTCAAAAAACCCTCCATAAACTCCAACTGGTCCAGGATTCAGCTGCCCACATCATAACCTGTACCCCCTTCATTCACCACATCACTTCAGTCCTCCAACAGCTCCACTGGCTCCTGGTCCAGTTCCGCATCCAGTTCAAAGTTCTCCTCCTTACATTTAAGGCTATCCACAACCTCGCCCCTTCATATCTGTCTGATCTCCTCCACGTTACAACTCCCTCCCGCACCCTCAGATCCTCTTCCTCCATACACCTGTCTGTCCCCCCCGCCTGCCTCAACACCATGGGGAGCGAAGCATTCAGCCGCTCTGCTCCCCGGCTCTGGAACCTATACCACCTGATCTCAGGAATACTGATTCTTTCACCCTTTTCAAATCAAGACTCATTCAAGGTGAATGAGCGGTGATTGTGTGAATGTTTTGAGATGACCAGAGGTTATTCTGAGAAGGAGGAGGGGGAGTGGCCTGAGTGTGGAAAGATGGGCTGCTGAGTGCAGACTGTCAGACAGTCAGAGTGGATCATGTACTGGATGTTGGAGTGAAGGTGTTGCCTGCATCAGGGATATATGTTTGGCTTGAGCTGAAGCCACGGATATGACGCCCTCCAGCAGCCTATCCTTGTCATGAAGATCATTTTGCAGACGACAAAACCACTCTTCCAACCATGAGTTTTTTATTTTGCAGTCAACACACAGCCATTTAAAATTCCCACTTTTCCGGGTCCTGCGCAGAGTTCTGTGCGTAATGCAGCTTGGATAGTCTTGGTTCTAGAAACCGCTAGACAGTGGTTTCTAGAACGGGACTATACTACTCAGTGTGTGGGTAAAGCATATCAGAATGCTTTTTCTAAGTCAAGAGTTGACCTTTTGAAAAAAAGTGTAAAAAAAGAAAAAGTTTTTTCAGTCTCTTGTATTACCACCTACACTCCTCAGGCCCACATCATCAAAAAAAACATTAAGAAACATGGCATATTCTAACCACAGATTCAGCCCCGTCTGAACTCTTTCAGGACCCTCCTCTCTTTGTTCACAAAAGAGGACCAAACCTCCGTAATAAATTGGTCAGAGCCAACACCTTACCCTCTCCAAAACAGATCTATTATCTCCTATCAAAGACAGGAATCATCCCTGTGGAAACTGTGCTCATTGTCACAATTCAGTGAAAACAAATACCTTTAAGCAACCTTGAACTGGTAAAAGCTTTGGAATCAGGGGAATAATCACATGCAATACAAAAAATGTTATCTATATGTTGACCTGTCTGTGTGACAAAATTTACATTGGTAAAACCACCCGCCCTCTGAAACAAAGGATAAGTGAACATAAGAGCCCCATTAGGAGAAGAGATGAAAACTATCCTGTTGCCTGTCATTTTAATGATCTGTCACACCCTCTCTATTCCCTTAGATTTCGGGGTGTAGAACAAGTAACCCTACACAGAGGGGGTGACGTTGACAGGAAATTAAGCCAACGGGAACTATTTTGGATTTATACCTTAGATGCACTACAACCATCAGGTCTAAACAAGGATTTTGACAAGAGTGTGTTTATATAACTTAACTATCTAATTCTGAACTTTTTGTGCTTTGTTTTATGATGGCTAAAGCCTGATGTGTACACAGCATGAACTTGTTCCTCTCTGTTTGTTTCATGTCTTTGCTGACTGCATTTCCCATGATGCTCTACTGATGAAGGTCTAACAGACCGAAAGCTTGCTTCAGTAAAGCTCCTTTTGCAACAGACCAGAAGTGTGCGGATTGTTTCTCTCTTTTTACTTTTAAGACTGTCAGAAATTTAAAAAAGTAAAGTAATAGTAATAGTAATGCCATTTTTGAGCTGCTGGGTGACCTAAAGGCTGATTTGGATCCAGTCACAAAAATGATCCATGCTATATTTCCTATTGAAAAACTCCTTGTAATCTGGGAATCCCACTGGATCTGGAACGGCCCCGCTCCACTCAGGTCCGGCCGGGCAGGCAGATCAAATACACAAACATACAGCACCCACCGGATCTGATCCGCCTCTGCCATCGGAGGACAAGCGCTTGCGAGATTACTGATATTTCTTGCGAAGCTGGACGAGATCTCACGAGATCTTGTGTTTCCCCGTGAGACACTAAATGAGATCCTCTGATCGGTGTATATGAACAGCGGTGAATATAAGCACCCACAACCCTGGCCTCTCCTTTTATCAAGTGAAGAACAGCTCAACATAGAGACTTATTTTGTTTCGAAAATTAACCAGATATTTTACTCTATAGCCGCATACAACTTCCTCTGCTGCTCGTGCTGCGCTGCTCTATTTTGATGCCCCTAGGCTACAAGCTAGCGTGAAGAGGAATGTACAGAGCAGCACTGTCTCCGCCCACGACTCAGAGGCGAATTGCTAATGAGCTACTGGAGCTCTGCAGAAGAAAAGTCCTTGAAAATTACCCAGGTAACATGATTTTGGCTAAAAACCTCATTATCACTCTTAAAGACAACTGAGAACACTTTAACCCTTGTGCATCCCCCAAGAATTACTGACACTTGCTAACCTTGTGGACACAAACGGTCTGTCTAATAAAAGTTCAGTAAAAACATGATACATTCATATTTTTTTTTTACTTTTAAAGTTTCACATCTTGTCAACAACTTCAGACCTATCCATAGATATACAGTTTATTATATTTTTTAAATATTGTTTTAGGTTTTTAGTGTCTTTTGTCATCGGAATCCCTGATGTTTTCAATGGGAAAAACACAAACTATGCAATATTTCCAAAAATGAGGTGCAAAGTGAAATATTTTTGATAAAGATATAATAGCCTTGACCATGTCAATAATTAATAAAGATATTGATTTCTATGCATAATTATTCTTGGCACATGACAGATTCAAACTCCTCCTTCTCCTCTTTTGTTTCCCCTTTTCAAATTGCAGTCCCTCTCTGTCTGGCAGGTAAATGTCCCCTTAATCCTACTGGCTCATGCACGTGCACACATAGGGCCCTTGGGGGGCTTGAGCCCCTGCCCTTTCTGCCTTGTATTAAAAAGTGCCCCTTTTTAAAAAAAATAACATTAATTAATTCCTGTTAGGGATGTTATGAAAAAAAAATAATAAAAAATAACGGTGGTACAAAAACGCCACGGTATTCTATCTTACTAGGCTGTATTGGCTGAGTGAGATTGTGTTGGTTCGTTCCACTTCAGTGGGGCAACACTGATTCATAAAATAGCTCTATTGATAGTAAGTACTAAAAAAAATATCTACTCATGCCATCCGGTCCACTTTTAGTAATCAGTGTTTCGGTGTTGAACTATTTCCTTTCTGCGGCGTAGTGATACTTGCACACGCGCAATCGAATATGCAGAGGGGTGAAGGGATTTTTTGTCACATGGACCAATAGGAGCCGAGTCTCATTGCCATAGTAATACACAAAGAAATACTCAGAAATACACAAACATGGCGACAAGCGCATCTAGCAGCGAGACAAGCGAAGAGGAAGAAAAGAAAAGGAAAAAAAAGAAAACAGCCTTCAAAAGTGCATAAAAAAGGAACGAAATGATGCTATATGCATCTATCATCTGTCCAGAGTGAAGACGTTCTCGACATTACAAGGACACGTTGGGAAACTTACAGAACTAGTATTAGAAAGTGGCTTTCTCTACAGGGTGAGACAAAGGACCTTGCAGAAACTCATAAACATTGCGTTGATATCGACTTTGACAATGTTCCTGATGATGCTGAGTTTCACATGACATGCTACCAGCGATTTATTTGCAAAAGGCGTTTGAGAAACAAGAACGCGATGCAGCCGCAAGTCAGTCAAACGCTTCAGCCAGCATCGCCGATGCATCCACGTCCGCGGCATCTGAAACTCCACAAAAGAAACTTTGCTCAAGGTCATAGGTTGTATTGGGACAAAGGAAAAAGTGCCTAGAAATTGAATCTTGTTCCACTACGCTGGTGCAACTTGTTCAATGCATTTTTGCATAGACAATACCATTCTGGACTTAGGGTTAAAATATCTACTCAGACTCTCTGTCCGACTTTTGTCACCAGCCAGAAATGTACATATATATGTGAGTAACCCAAAAAACAATTATATGGTGCTGCTGTTTTTGCTTGTAGAAACTGCTATGTTGATTCTGGCAAGACAAAATCTTTCTCAAATGTCATAAATACATCTACCTAACATCTGAAACAGTTATTGGTGCCTTAGTTTATGCATAAGTGAATTCAGATTATGAAATGTAGCAAATTTCTTGAAGAAAACGTCTCAACTCAAATAATTTGCACCCAGCACAATGAAATATATACAGTAAATTTAGTGAAAAGCTTATGTTTCATACATAAAAATAACACAACCTACTGTGTAATAAAGGCAATAAAATATAAACAGCACATCATGGCCATAAATGGCTGAAAGTCAATCAAATTGGTACCATGCCCCCCAAAATTGGAATAATGGAAAAATGTAACAAGACAAAAATAAATGCACAAAAGGTCTGAATTAATTCAAAGTATGGTATAAAACATTCATTCAAGTATCACAGTGTCAAAACATCTGACATTTACCAATCCCTCCAGAATATGAAAATAAAAATCAAAACACAGACAAATATAGAACAAATATAAAAATAATAAAAATCTCAAATCTCGGTGTAGCAATCCTTTAAACAGAACAAATTGTACATGGTGACATGGTGCGTATGTTACACATCACTATCACTGTCACTTTCATCAGAGTCATCATCCCATACAGCTATTTCTTGTTTCCTTTGAAGCATTCTCACATGCTTGGCACCAACATAAATCTGTACAAAATAGTCTTGCAGACATACAAGAACATCCATACATTCACAGGTTGAGATTTACTTTCTAGGCACTTTTTCCTCTGTCCCAATACAGCCTATACCTATTTTCTTGTAATACGGGTTTTTGTGTGAGATGAGCCTCTTGCGGCTCCACTCTGTCACAGAGCCGCCAGAGAGAGAGCACGGCGCATCAATTCAGCACAGAGCAGATCATGTCAGACAGGAAATCGTAATCAAAATACAAAATAAAACACCAGGTTTATTTTCAAAATAAAATGCATCGTGTTTACGGCGGATCACATTTCTGTTACTACAGGAAGTACAGGTTCGAGGTTTAGATACAAAGTTTATTGTGACTTTGCTTCTATTGTGTGGGCTGACAAAAAAAATAATAACAATAATCATAATAATTATTTGAATAATCTTTTTGTATGATATGGACTCATGGGGTCTGAAATAAAGTTTGTAGATAGATAGATAGATAGATTAGTTGACACAAAAGAAATGGCAATTGCATATCACTTTCACCTACACAGGACACACAGCTAAGTCGTTAGCTTTTTATTAGTACTTTGTTTTTTAATTCTACATTAATTTCCATATTGTATAAAGGACCGAAAAAAGAAAATTTGAGCCCGTGCCCCTCTATAATCATGTGCATATCACTGTCCTGGCTCCAAGGTTAATCTTCAATGCTCATGTTCTCCTCAGAAGCATTCACCTCACTCCCCTCAGGTGACTGTACACATGCAGCAAATGCCTGCTTCAAATTTAGATGGCGCTTCATGCTTGTCTTTTGGAGAAATGACCAGCCAAGTTGTGTTTGAAATCTAACACAACTTCATGCTCTTGTCGGATAAATAGCATGTTTTTGCAGGTGCATAAAAACAGACTCTGTGTGTGTGTGTGTGTGTGTGTGTGTGTGTGTGTGTCTTCCATTACTCTGAGGAGAATGAGGAGCGTGTCTCTGGGTGAATTTTGAGGATTCATCTGAGAGTCAGGATGGCTGATTATTCCCTTACAGAAGGACCCTATAGATGTCTATGTGTGTTTTTGTGTGGAAAAAAAAAAAATCACAGGTCAAAAGGGCTCTGTTGATGTTTTTTTTTTCCTCATTCATATTCAAACCACTTTTTTATATCAGTGCTAATATACCAAGACCATTTTATGGTGCTTAGCTTTGTTATTTCTATGCATTTTGGGAGGTAAGAAAACCATGCCTTCACTGAAATTTCCCCCAAACTTTGGGCTCTATTTTCATGTCCGCTGTTGAGGTGGCAGACCCCACGCAGTGGTATTTTTGTCTGGCGTACAACCAGTTTGGTATTTTCGTCGACTGAGGCGCACCGAGGTCCGCCAAGCTGGGCGTGGTGGCGTGGCAGAGGGAGGTGTCAACAGAATCAGCTGGCGCAGTGACATTTTCGTGCTCGCCGGTGGCGTATAAAGTGCGCTCAAAGCTCGCTGATTCAAACCTGGTCAGCTTTCAGCGCAGGTGGAGCGCAGCTGGTCTAGTGGTATTTTGGTAGACCGGCAGCATATCGGCATACGTCACCAAGTTTTCACAGTGTCAGGCACATTTCAGTGCAACAAATAATCATCAACAACTAATAATCTGAGTCAGCACATACATCTAGATCTATTTAGATATATTCTAATCTATATCTGATCTGATGAGCGCGTTTGGCACGCGTTTGGACACACAACCTGACCGAATCAACACAGCTGAAACCGCATTAAATTAGATTTAATTCATCTCCCTCTTTTTTTTTCTTCCTCCTCCTCTTATTTCTCGTGCAGCTCGACCTGGACATGTCTCTGTGTCCTCTCCTCGTCCTGCTGCAGCTGCTGCTGCGGCGGCTGAACAGATGATTTGTTTCAGTGATCAGATGAGTTGTTTACTTTAAGCCTACATACGGATATTATAATATTCAGTTTTGTGAGCCAAATTTATTTTATATGCCAATATCTATGAAAGAAAGAGCCAAGTCACGGAGTGCGATGCGTCCTTTACGCACAGATGGTTCCGATTTTAATGCCATTATTGGAATTTATGATGTGATCTCTGCGCACAACCCACTTCTGTCATGTGAGGTTTAAATATGTGCAACTTTATGTGAGTGTCTTTATTTGTGGAAAGGGTGTTTGTCTGACCAGTGGGTCCAACATTACACACACCAAATCCATCTGTGCTCATATGAGAGAGTGTGGAGGACGCCCTCTGCAGCGTTTACAGTGACACTTGTTGAGGGGCTGCCTCCTGTCGCCATCGTGTGGCATTACTGTCTTCAGACATCTCTCGATCTCTTAGTAATACGCCTCGCCAGTGGTGGATTTAAAGGCAAGGAGAGGAGCTGATGTTATTGGTCAATACAGGTCTTGGCTGTGTTAAACCCACTCCATGCCCTCTCTCCTCCCTCGCTACGACTTACGCCGCTGGGAGGAGCTGAGTTAGGGAGGGGGGATACTTACGCCGGGCTATGCCGCTCACCAAAATACCAAATTGTGCTTGGGAATGCCTTGTCGGCGCGGCGGACCTGACTTATGCTGCGCCTCCGCCACGTCTCCGACGAAGCACGAAAATAGAGCCCTTTATGTAATGGCCTCTGGTTGTTAAAGGGGGTCATTACACCTAAAACATATTTTCCCTAAATTTTGATGGTAAAAGCTTAGATCTATTAGGTATAAATAGAAATAGCATCATAATATGTTACAATTATAGCTTATGACAAATATGTGGTTATAATTGGAGTCAATGGGGTAAATTTGGTCACTAGGTTAACAAGTGTCTTTGTGATGCAAATCTCCCATTCTAAACACTTCAGGCTTTTGGAATTAAGAAAAAAAAAATGAAAAAGAAAATAGTGTTAAAATTTCACACAGCTAGCCTTTAAACTGACTGGGTTACTGAGAGAAGAACAAAAAAACACATCCAAAATGTCCTTTTTTGTCCCCAAGATGCTCTGAGGGTTAAATAGTTAAAAAACAAACAACAAAAAAAAAACAATCGGAGTGGATCTTAAGAGACTACACATTGAAGGTGTTTGCAAAACTTTTGGAACTTTGAAACTTTGGAGCTGTTTCCCTCTTGAACTTTGAACGGTTGAGACTATCAAAAAGTGGTTGAAGACCCATTTGTTAAGACTTGCCTTTGTACGACTAGGACTTGGCTGCTAGTGTACTATTTGATTATGTTTTTGTTTTTGTCATACTGTGGCACTTTGTGACAACTGTTCTTGAAAGGTGGTGCCATACAACTTAAGTTTATTATTATTATAAATATTATATTATCCATCACCCAGCATTAGATGAAAAATAATAATAATAAAAAAAAAACAGTCTGGTTGGTGCTTTCTGTTACTAATCTGCAACATGGATCTGTAACTTGTGCCATGAACTCCCCCCCCCCCCCACCCCCAATTGTGGGTGCTGTCACTTAATTTGAGGTGCATTCAGTGACACGATTGTTTAACATACTTAGGAAACAGCCACACATGACAGCCTTGTCAAACTTAAATTATTATTTTCTTGACCTTTAGTGTTGTTTATCAAGAGCTGCCAAGAGTTACCAAGCCAGTGTATTAATGGCAGCCAAAGTGGAATTTAAAGCACCTGGGGCCTTATTTATCAATCGTGCTTAGAAAAGGTTCTATATTCTTGTGTAGAAATGAAATTTAGAATGTGCGTAAGTACAAAAAAATCCAAATTTATCAAACATGTGGACACCGGTCGTATGCAAACTCATAAGTAATCTGTGATAATAAATCCCACCTGTTCTTAACCACCGTGCTCGTGCATGGTTATGGACATTTGCATTCAGAAATGCCTCTTATTGACCGTATATGGTATCAACAATCCCTATAAATATGCGTGAATGGATTTTTTTCCCCCTCGTCAAAATCATGGCAGAGGTCGAAGAAGAGGAATTTTTCGGGCGCTGAGATTGAGGTACTGGTTGGGGAAGTAGAACCTAACTAAAAAGTTTATTTGGAACACTAAACACGGGAGTTACAAACAAAAGAAAAACTGCCACCTGGGAGATGGCTGCTTTGAATGCTGTTGGGTCGGAGGCAAGATCACTTTCCGAAATAAAAAAGAAATGGGTTGATGTTAAAATCAGAGCCAAAAAACAAGTCACGGCTCACAGACAGGAAATATCTATGACCGGAGGAGGACAAACCACTACTCAACTTTTACCACTGGACACCCACATTGCCAGCATAATCGGAAACACATCATTAATTGGGATTATTTTCCTGACGGAGACACAGCTACTCCCCCAACAGCTGTACCATCGCCCAGTCACACAGCAGGTAAAATAAAAAGCTGGACTGAGGTGTTTCATAAACATTTATTCAGACAGAATTGAAATGAACGTGACAATCATGTGATGTTTCTTCAATAACTCAGGAACCTGGGCCAGCCCTGCCTGACCTCAGGAGCCGAAGGCAGTGGAAGAGCCGGAGGAGTTGTAGGAACAGGAGCAGCCTTGGCCATCCAATACCCATTCGGTGTGTCCTGGGGGGCCGAGGGTTCTGACGGAGGCAGTGCTAAAAAAATCAACAAGACATCACAAAAGCAATAAATGAAATAAAGGATCAGCTTACCAACATAGGAAATACTTTACTGCAAATGAATGCGTCACTTAAACAGATTGCTGCATGCGCATCACAACTGTTGAACAAATAAACTTTGAAATGTTGAAATTATTTGTCCATCGCATGCTTTCATTCTGAAATTTCTGTTTTCAAAGATGGCTTAACAGGCAAATTTACCTAAAATCTCTGTATGAGTCTCTCTCTTGTTTGAATGGCAGCGGCATTAAGGGGTGGGAAAGGCTCTGCGTACGGCATGGGTTCATCTGCGCGGGGGTGTTCCTGCAGAGGGATGCTTTGTCTGATGGCTAAATTATGCAGCACACAGCAAGCCAAGATGATGTGGCAGACTTTTCCAGGCTTATACTGAAGTGTCCCCCCCGCGCTGGACAGGCACAGCCATCGGCCTTTTAGCAGGCCCATTGTGCATTCAACGGCCGTTCTTGAGCACGCATGGGCCAGGTTGTAATGCTGCTCCTGCGGGGTCCTTGGGTTGGCTACGGGGGTCATCAGCCATGGCTTTAATGGATATCCACGATCACCTACAGCGATAATATAGTAAACCATACGCAGCCCAGAAAATAATATCGAAATGTTGTAACACTCACCAATAAGCCAGCCATCGTCAACAGCTCCTGCTTGGAGGTGCACACCCACAGAGCTGTTTTGTAAAATGAATGAGTCATGCGTTCCACCAGGCCACCGGGCAACAACGTTTAACAGATGCATATGTGCATCACAGATTATTTGTGCATTGATTGAATGAAATCATTTTCTGTTGACAAAACTGAATTCATTGTGTGAAGGTGCTTTTATTGCGATGTGGGTGCAGTCTATGGCTCCAAATCCAGCGATAGCGTGAAATTCTCATTTTATTTCGGCTTGTTGGTGATGTGTGTATGGGAACTGGATGTAAGTTGAGGCCAGAGAAATTATTGCATCCAACACTGCCGGCATGATTGTGCTCAGTGCTGGCTGCGAAATGCTGCATATGTCTCCAATCTCGTGTTGAAATGTACCGGTGGCCAAAAATCCCAGGGTGGACAGGAGCTGGTTGTGCACCGGGATGGCATGGGTGCGTTTTGTCTGTCGCTCCAACACGGGCTGTAACTCACGGCATAAATCCATTAAAATATTTTTGGGAAAGCGGTACCTGCTGAGAAGCCACTCTGTGTTCTCACTGAGCAGATCAGCACGGTCTTAAAAAACACGCTTCCTGCTGAACATACGGTTCTCCAAGACCTCCAATAGCGCAAAATAAGCCATGGTAATTGTATTTTCATACTTGTCAGACTTCTTTTGAGGTTGTCCTATCACAGCTGTCTTTTATAGCTTGTCACATCAATCATTCAAAATATCTGCTAAATAACTAATTGATAAATTTTATTAATTAGAGGCAACAGGGAACATGTGTGAAGTTTGAGATTGCTGAACGCTGGGACTCCTTTATTGGGTCCTATTTGTAGTTTCACTGTTCTACCACTAGATTTCGTGTGTACGCATGGTCAGAGTTGTGCTTAAATGTACGCAATGTACGTTCTTCTCAATTCCAGAGAGAATTGAGAAGCACGTATTTTTGGGAGAGCTACTCAATCCCTGAACACCCATAGGCTGTATCAGGTGTCAATCATAGAAAACATGAACCCCCTAATAACTTTTGAAAACGGAGCTGTACAGAAAAAAGAGGACTTGAGCACAAACCAGTCTAGTAACTACATGTCAACATCACAAGCGGGGGGGGGGGATTTATGTTCTGTGTGATAAATTTCTAAAGTTTGTCCACAGCCCCATAAACTTTGCTGGCAGAGGCGGGATTTATGACCTATACTGCAGCCCATCAACAGAGGGTGCTGTTCTCAGAGTGGCTTCACCCAGAGAGGAGGCAGACTGTCCATTCTTTATACAGTCTATGGTCTGAACCTGCTGTTAGGCCTTTTTGTTCACAGTGATTTGAATGCAGAAATACTTAGAAATGTAGTTTTGCTCTTAGTTTTCTCTTGATATGTCCTCCAGCATCAGAAAAGTGCCATATGACCATGTAGACGAAAGAAAACATGTTTTTTTTTTTTCTTTATCAGAGTGGATCTTTAAATATGCTTCTTTAAACCACGTCCACAATCTTTAAACCAGCACAACACACACAAAAAAAATGTGCCAATTGTTGAAATGCACTTAAGTACTCCTTTCATGTAATCTTAGTAAAACAGGCCCTTGATGTAAGCCTGTGTTAGATAGATGAGACTTCAGCAGAGCTGAGGGACTCTCGAATCTGAGGTTGGCATTTGGATCATACAAGGCTTCAAGATGAGCTGCGTACTCCTGCTTACTGCTGGATGCTGTCTCGGTTAGAAACCCATTTCACAGTCAGTTTAACAACCTACTCCAAAAGGAAATATTCATACACTCATTCCTTCACAGCCCAATCTCTTCAGGGGAAATTGAGGCTCAGATTCTGTGGGAATGGACTTCATATTTCTTTTGTTTATTGTACAGAGACTCAGAGACAAAAGTCATAAAAATGACAATATCATGTTCTCGGAGTGAGCGTGCAAGGAACAATATCTGTTTTCTGTTCTGGGCCAGCAGTAATCTAACAGGCAATTCTTCCATTTTTCTGCTTTACTGTGCAGCTGTAAAAAGCACAGTTTATTACATGCAGTGCTGAGCAAAAGGCCACAGATAACACAAGTTATGAATCTAAAAATATGAAATCCAAAAAGGATCTCCGCTGGGGCAATAACATCCAGAGACAGCCCATATACCAGGAGCTGGAGTCAAACGGGGTAGTAAACTCTGATAAAAGGGAAATTGATCAAAATGAAAAAGGGTAACGGTGACTGATAAACACATCTGTTTCATCCTCAGACAAGAGGCTTTTTGTGCAGTAATACTACAGAACATCTTTATTTAGCAGGGAACTTCTTGTCTTTTTTTTCATTAATACAATGAATCAGTGTCTCACATTAAATCTCTCATCCTCATTTTATAATATGTCCTAGGCTGACTTATAACTCCTTTTCATTGTTTCACCGATAAAATCCAGACTTTATAGGAGAAAGACTTTATTCTCCATGATGTGAAGGTCGAATCGTCTCGACATTTGGTTTAATTTTTTGGACATTAAAAGAGACACGCAGAAGTTATGTCTTATTTCGTTTTTAATGGTGCTGCTTGTTGTAAAATGGGCAGAAATGGAGAACAATAGGTTCACCTTGTGCATATGCAATTAAAGAAGTGTGCAGAGATACACTCTTATTTGCAAAATAATTGGTTATGGTGGATTAATGGCCACAATAAAACAAAGAGAATGGTGGTTTTGGCATTTTCTGCCATGTATTAATAAACTGAGGTATTGCTTTAATAGCCCAGCAGTAAAACATATAACTGGAAATAAGGGGATCTCACCCTGAAGACAGGCTCTTGTTTCAACAGTTAAAAACAAATTAATCATTTTTCACATAAAGGCAAGCTTTTGAAGTTTTAGTCTAGTCTGCACATACTTTACATTTACTTGCTGCATTATTATTTGACTATTAGCATTCAGTAAGTTACAATACTTACGGCAAGGCAGAAACTTTGAGCAGAGCCAGACTTGTGTTAGACAATCGCCACCTGCAGCGGTATGTCTGCAGCAGTAATCCAGGATGATGGTGCACAAGGACTCCACAAAAGACTGTGGTTAGTGACTGTAACCCTTGATTCCTAGTCATTTTAAGCATGGTTGAGGCCAGTATGTCCAGAAATCGGACATGCAGAAAAGAGCTGATAAAAATGAATATCATCATGATCGAGATTAAAAAATAATAAAAATGATAATAATTAATACAGTCTGAGTCATATTAAAGGTGGGGTAGACAGGATTCTGTTAAAGAAGCATCTTTTTTTGTGGTGTATATACAAAAAAGCTTTCAATGTAAGTCAATAGCTATAAGTTATTAATGACGTTTGGGAATATAATGATATCACTGTGTTCTGTTATGCCTGTGTAGTCAACATTTTAAATTTTTTAAGAGGCCCGCTCTTTCTGACTGTAAACAAAGCCATTCTCCACCTCCCCAACCTGATTGGTTGTGAGGCGAATGCTGCTCCTTAGTGCTAATTGGTTGTGAGGCAGACGCTGCTCCCTCGTGTTGTGAGGAATGCTCCACATCCTTGAATAACATTCATGAGCCCAAACAAAGTTAGCGTACTACAATATCGGATAGTAGAAACCAACTAGCTTTCACACCTGCCCAAACGAAGTGGACTGTCCGAGGAAACAAAATCTGGTCCGTTTAAAGTGGGCCAAACAGCTCTGATGTGAAAGCGACCTTAGATTAGGTTATTCTTTCTTTTCTCTTTCTGTCTTGCTTTCCCTTTCTCTATTGAAATCAATCAGCTATGACACATCCCAATACCCCCCATATTGCGATATGTGCGTGCAAGGTATTTATGATGGGGTGGACAGAAGTGTAGAGCACAGTGTCAGGTGCTGTTGCTACAGGACAAGACAGATGTCTCTGGCAGAGTCCTTCTGTGCTGCAGAAAAAACTATCCAGGTACAGAGGGAGAAAGTGTGGAACTTTAAGCGGTGCTAAGCACTGTTGCTGTTGGAGTTGTTCAAGTTAATGAATAGGATTATCAAATAGTAACAAAATAAATGCATGCTTCAACAAAGTGCTGCATGAGTTCAGCTTGGAGTAAATTTCTGTTTATCACTGAGTTAATCTCCCATACACGAAAAAGCCTACATTTATTCAGGTGAGGTTTCCTAAAGAATTGATCATTTAAAGTGGATTACATAAACTAGGTGTCTAAACTGTGATAAGACTTAAGTATCCAGTCAAGAAAAAAATCATAATTATGCATCTGTATGACATTTAAAAACAAAAAGCAGTAAAGTATTATTACTTTTATATTTATAATTTAATCTCTGTTACTGGCTCCATGCAAGACAAAAAGCAGTGTCCTGATCAATTCTAATAGGGATGTAATCTATTTTAGCTATCATTGGTTCCCGATTGTTCAGTTTGTAGATTTTTCATAGTGTGATCAAAACATGATCTAAACCAAGGACTTAATTTTCTAAAAAAAATTGCAATTTTCTAAAAGTGATTGTGACTTTTAGGACCTAGCAAGATTAATTTAAGACTTAAAGCAGACAAATGGAAATTTGGGGATTTTACACTTTTCTGACCGTGCAGACACCCTGAAATTGATTTAAAGTACATAGAACAAATTCCCAAAAACAATATGACACAAATACTCAGCATGTGGACAGAAAAGTGGTATGGTGATATTCACAGGTTGGCAGTGAGGACTGCGAGGACACTGGCTATAATAACAAATGAATCAAACTCAGTATTTACATCATGCAACATGTTTTTGCATTCCTTCACCATAAAATAGTGCCAAAACATTGCATGCATGTCAAAAGAGGACTTGAAGGCAGAATGAAAAAGGATTTGTCAGTTGCAGTTTTAAACAGTTGAAGTTGGCCCTACCCTTTTTGGGTGTATGCCTTCAATCTGGCACATTTTTGCCACTAAGTATGACAATGGATCAGTTGACATACATTTACAAATACAAAACGGTTCAATAGATGTTTTCCATATGTGGTGTGGCTGGTGAGTTGTGAGGACCCAGAAGCAGACACAGAGACAGAGATCAACTTATGGTGTAATTTAATGTCCAAACACAGGTTTTAAATGCAAAAAGAGGAAGTCTGGTAGGCTGGTTGGCTGGCTGGCTGGCTGTCGTGTGGGCTGGAGACACTGCAGAAAAAACCAGAGGAGAAGGAAGTAAGCGAACATGCAATGAATCACAAGGAGCAAAGTACTGATACTCATACACAGAGGAAGGCCAGGAGATGCGTCTTGTACCACTTGGAAGTGAAGACAATACTCAGGCGCTGAGACTGAGGGCTGCAGGCTTCTTAAAGTGCTTTGATTGTAGATGTAGCGCAGGTGTGTAGTCTCACTCAGCCTCAGCGACGGGGGGAGGGGAGGAAGCTCTGAAAGAGAGTAAAACCAGACCAGGCAAACAAGGAAACACAGGAAGTCCAGCCAAAATAAAACAAGAAGAGGAGGCATCTCACCACACCATAAAGGCCAATCTGATGAGTCCACTGGATGAGAAAGCCAGCTTGAGCCCAAATTTAACACCTTGTGCTATTGTTTAATAGATTTTTTGTTTGGTGAGTTAATTCTGTGGCTAACCCCCCCCCAAAGACGTGTAAATGCCTACACTAAAATTGTCATGTCACAACTAAAAATTACTCAGTCTTAATTACATCTTGGTGTCATTTACTGCACAGACTCACTGCTTTGACCTGTCTTCTGGTGTCTTTTTTTCATTTGACATGCACACGTACAGGGACTTGCATACAACTACACCTGGTAAACTCTGTATCTGATGCCAAGAAGGTTGTTAATCGTTTCATTTATTGGCCTGTCATTACTTTCTTGTTTTTCACAAATGCATTTTTAATACTTAAATGCTTACAATATAAAAAAATATCCTATTTATTTCTACATACACATCTTAAGAAATCTACTCATCAATATTTATCAAACTTATCAGCAAACTCACCCATGTTTTGTACATTATAGAAGGTCCTTTGAGATGGTTTCAAATGTTTTGTACTTCATATACAATAGTGTTAAAGGTTTATTAAATTATGCTACACAACAATTGGCTTAAACCATAGACTGTATATACTATGGACAACCTGGTTCCACCTTCCGCCTGTATATGGATTTGAAGCCAAAAAGCTCTCGATATTTCCGGGATTTTTCTTTATTTCCTGAAACCAGTGCTGCGCAATAGCGATGCGCGCAATAGCGATGCGCGCATTCGGCCGCGCAGTTGCGGAAAGTCACTGATGACACTCAGCTCAAACAACGTATCCCCCGGGTGAGCTACGCAATCCCTGAACGCCCATAGGCTGTACCAGGTGTCAATCATAAAAAAAACTTGAACCCCCTAATAAATAACGGAGCTGCACAGAAAAAAGAGGACTTGAGCACAAACCAGTCTTACAATAACTACATGTCAACATCACAAGCAGGGGGGAGAAAAATGTATGTTCTGTGTAATAAATTTCTAAAGTTTGTCCACAGTCCCATAAGCTTTGCTGGCGGAGGCGGGATTTATGACCTATACTGCAGCCCATCAATAGAGGGTGCTGTCCTTGGAGTGGCTTCACCCAGCGAGGAGGCAGACTCTGTCCATTCTTTATACAGTCTATGGCTTAAACCTGCCCCTGTGATCAGTATCTGCCTCCAAAAATCTGATTGGATCACCCTTAGTTGCTACAATTTATATAGTCCTGCACTCACACCCTGTATTTTGTTATCAGCTGGGGGCTTCACATCACAGCCTAAAGACTGATGCTCAGAATCCTCAATACAGTAAAATAAGAGGATAAAAATACAGGCAGATGAAGGGGTCTCTGCACACCTGTAGCAGTAATGATTGAGAGGGGTTTGAAACATTTTACACTATACATGATTTTTCTGTTAAAAACAATGACAAAAACTAAGTGTTTGTAGGTGTTGGTGACTGGGGGCTTCTAAGGAACTGTTAAATTCAATTCTGATTAGTTAGCTTAAAATAACTGACAAATCCTGAATAGTGTCAATCATCACGCTGATGGTCAACCAACCTCTTATGCAGATATGCCTTTTCAGGGTCACCATACGTCTACATCCAGCCAAATAACTGGCCAGTGGACAGGTGTCATGTAGTTCACCGAGTGCCACAAGCTTTGTTTCCCTTATTGGTGACAAGGTTAGTTCAAAGGCTCTGTAGTGTTCACTGTTCCACCCACACAGTACTTCTACAGTGAGAAACAACTCATGTATAACACACATCTGAATGATTTCAGCAAACTCCGTTATTCCACTTGCTGATCCATGGGCAACTATCATTCCTTTGCTGTAGGCAACGCCACTACTTGATGCACTCTTCGCAAGATGCACTTCTGTTGTGTTTGGGTATTTTGACTTAATAGCTTGCGCCACTCCCTCTTTCAATACATCGACTGGAAGTGTGGACACATTTGATAGATGGAGCCCAGATTTACCATATAATGGCTAGTTGATGTGGAATGCAATCATCAGCTGATGTTTGGAAGCCAAAGTCGGGGGTATATTCTTAAAGCAACTCATGTGCCTCACAATCTGCTTAAAAAAGCTATGTTTAGCTTCAAATTACATGCTCCAGAGTTCAACAAGAGGGGCAAAACACCTTATCATCTGTGGATAGTGCTTAAGATAGTGGTGCTTGGGTAAAATTATTTTACCAGGAAATAGCTCTTTGTACCGCTGTCTATGCTCAACTATTTTGCGTTCAAGATACGAGATAGATTCATCTGTGTGCATAGGAGCAACAATGAACTCAACAATATCTTTCAAATCCATTAAAACAAGCCATTAAAACATGGCTCATTCTTTGGCACAAGATGTCCAATCAAAATTGGGAGAAACCTCATCAAACTCCAGTTTTCATGGGCATTGCCTCCTATAGTTTTCCGACCACAGAGACTCTGTGGTACAATGTGTGGCTTTTTTGTTTTGTCTGACCATTTAAAGGGAAAAACCAAAATAGCTTTATATAGGTCATCTAATGTACATAACTTTTTGTTTATCATTAATGCCAAGCAGTAACTGGCACAATATCTTCCAATACATCATGTGCAATGTCAGGAGGAAAACCCGAGATAACATGAAAATGGGAAAGACAACTGATAAGAACACACCAAGAACACACTCGCGTTTAACGCCAACGCAATGGGTGTTACTCTCAACTGCTGCTTTTACATGCACGCACCTTCTTTAGTTCTCAGGCTGAAAACCCCAGATGTAGCACAGTCAGTTTCAACATTACAATGTTGTGCTGTGCAAAACCGGCAAAAGAGATCACCTGAAAAACTCTCAATGAAGCATGCAATACTGTGTGCACTCAAGTCATCAGCCACATCACGCTGCACTCTGCCTTTAAGAGACACACCAAATAAAGAAACATACACACCATGGTCCTCGAAAGTTTTAAGATCTTGCAGGAGAGGTTCCAACACTTTTCATAACCATATATTTTTAAATCAACACTTTTGCAAAGTTCTGCAAGATAAATTGATAAGGATGAGTAAGAGCCAGGTGGAAGGCTACCCAGTACCCAGTAAACACAGCAAAGCTTATGTTTCTTATGAGAGGTGCCCAAAGGATTGCAGATCTCAAAATCATCTACATACAGACAGTGATATTCGTAATTCCTCTACATTCAGAAAGCTGTTTTCTTTAAAATGCAAACTATTTTTAGGAGACCTTAATTCATAAGAGGGATCAAGTTCAATGTCCTGATTTTCAATAATCTTATCAACAATCGCTTTGTTATTTAATATTTGCTGCAAGGATTTCAACAGTGACACATACTGAAAACTGTGTTTCTTTTTATGATCAAGTATGTGGGTGATTGGATCCACAACACTGACTTTTTCTTTGTAATATTGTTGACGTTGATATGAAGCACTAAGAGGGCCACCTTTTTCAGTTGCTATTTGAACTGGGTTAGCTGAGCAAACTGCTGTGGTGATTTCTGTGACTACAGAGTCATCAACCTGCAAGTTGTGACGCTCAAGAATATCACTTATCAAACTTCTAGAAAATGGAACTGATGCAGAATTTATTAAGTATTGAAGTTCCTGTAAGAATTCATTGATTGCTGTACCTGGCACATGCGCTAAATATTCCAACTTGAACAAGGCTGCTGCAAGCTGCTGCTGAATTTCACCTAGAAGTGCCTCCTGTTGACCTTTGGAACTTGGTGAAGTATGAAAAATCTCCTCATCCTGGCAATAAAAAAATGGCTAATGCGATGATGACGATGCTAATGTAGTTGTTGTCACGTGCGTCCTTGTCTCTACATGCAAGTTTATCAATAGTGCGAGCACGAGGATGAGCTTGCAGCTCACCCTGCAGCGTTTCTGTACCAAAAAGCAAAGCTTAACAGACACAACGCTGAGTGTGAACATTACAAACTATGTTACAGACCATAGGCCTACTACATCGACGAATCGTTGCAGCCCTAATCATATTCATTAGTATTCATTTTTAGAGTCAAGATTTGTATCATATCCGTAAAGATAATCTATTCATCATATTCCCGATCATGTTCACGGGCAGCTGCATGACTAAGCTAGCTATCATATACTGTAAGCCTTAGCGAACATTGACATTGAAGTTGATTTATTCATGTTTTATAAGCTAATGGTGGATAAAACCTTGGCTGTGTGTAAAATAGATGCAAGAAAGTCAGTTTCTCATATCTGGTACAACATTTTATTAAATTTCATTAAGCTCCCTTACCTTGCAAGAAGGCGCCAACAGCAACAGTAACGGTCAGCCGTCTGCACATTTGCTGCTGAAATCCTACTGCCCAGAGTACGCCCCTCAAGGCGGAGCTTCTGGACCAAACATAACTTATTCCTTTTTTCCTTAACATGACTGAGATTTGTTGACATTACATTTCTTGAAATTACAAGAAGTCAACATGACTTCCGTGAAACCACACAAGAGTCGCTCGGTTTTAGTCCGGCTGAGCTGGTTTTTGGGCACACTGTGCGCGGTCCGCTTCGTCTGCTGCGTGAGAGATGGCTCGCAGACAATCCCAGCCCTGCGCACAGCATTTTAGATTATGTTAGTTCATTCAGAAAGAGATTGCACAGTGCTTGTGAGTTTGCCCGTAGTTCCCTCTCCGTGGCTCAGTCCAAAATGAAAGAACATTATGACAGGAAAACTCTCACTCGCCACTTTCAGCCCGGTGACAAAGTTTTAGTCCTGTTACCTCTTTTGGGGCAAAGTTCTGTGGTCCTTATGATGTGGAGAGTAAATAAAGTGACACAGACTATATTGTTAGCACTCCTGACAGAAAGCGAAAATCCTGTGTGTGTCACGTGAATATGTTAAAAAAATATGTCGCTCGTGAAAATGATGACGTGCAATTCGTTGAGCCTGTAGCCTGTGTGGCAGCTGTGGTGTCCCCCTCATACAGTGCAGAGGAGGACGGGCTGCGTGAGCAGCCAAGCTCAGTTCAGTGTGCTCGCTTAGAAAATTCTAGAGTCTTGGAAAATCTCGAGGAGCATCTGTCGTATCTGTCTGATCCGGCAAAACGCGACATTTGCGGTCTCATCCGTCGCCACAAGCATCTTTTTAATGACACACCCAGTCAAACTAATGCGTAAAGAAGTTGAGTATTTGGTAGAGAATGGGTTTGCTGTGCCCAGCTGTAGTCCGTGGAGCTCCCCCTCCTTACTGGTTCCCAAATCCGACCAAACTCCACGGTTTTGTACAGATTACCGTAAAGTGAATGCCATCACCCAGCCCGATTCCTTTCCCTTGCCCCGTATGGATGACTGTGTAGATCGTGTGGGGTCGGCCAAGTATGTAACGAAGTTGGACCTTCTTAAAGGGTATTGGCAGGTGCCCCTTACAGAACGTGCATCCGACATCTCTGCTTTTGTCACCCCTGATCACTTCTTGCAGTACACCGTGATGCCTTTTGGGTTGAGGAATGCGCCGGCCACTTTCCAACGGCTGATGAATAAAGTCCTTTCAGGTGTGGAGAATTGTGAAGTCTACCTGGATGATATTGTCTGTTACTCCTCCACCTGGCCCGAGCATGTTAACATCCTAGGAGAAGTGTTCAGAAGGTTGGAAACTGCTTCACTCACATTAAACTTAGCGAAGTGTGAATTTGGAAAAGCTGTGGTCACCTACCTGGGTAAGCAGGTAGGACAGGGACAAGTGCGCCCCCTGTCGGCCAAAGTCCAAGCCATCCTGGACTTTCCTGTGCCAGAAACACGTCGACAACTCCGGCGTTTTCTGGGCATGTGTGGGTACTACAGAGGCTTCTGTAGGAACTTTGCCAGTGTTGTTGCACCCCTCACTAGCTTAGTTAGCCCTGCTGTAAAGTTCGAGTGGACTGACATGTGCCAGGAGTCTTTTGTTTCCACCAAAGCTCTTCTGTGTAGTGCACCCGTTTTGTCGGCACCTGTGTTTGACCGTCCCTTTAAGGTCGAGGTAGATGCCAGTGCTTATGGTGCAGGTGCGGTCCTTTTGCAGGAAGATGATAAAGGCATCGACCATCCCGTGTGCTACTTCTCTAAGAAGTTCAATAAATATCAGTTTAAGTACAGCACCATCGAAAAGGAAGCCCTCGCCTTACTGTTTGCTTTACAGCATTTCGAAGTTTATGTCGGTTCCAGTCCCATTCCGGTTATCGTTTTTTCTGACCAAAATCCCCTTGTGTTTTTGTCACGCATGCGCAACCACAACCAGCGCCTTATGCGCTGGTCCTTACTGTTACAGGACTACAATATTGAGATCCGCCACATTAAAGGGGCGGATAATCTGGTAGCTGATACATTGTCTCGGGTAGGTTGTTAAGGTGTGCCTCATGTTGTGTTTAGGGTGCTGTGGTAATTTTGATGTTTCGGTGATTCAAACATTTATTTTGGGTGTAAATGTTTGATCTTAGGTAGGGGGGTGTTATGACCTGGGGTCATATGTTTCCTGTTTCTTTTTTTCAGCAGCACATTTTGTTTGTGGGTAACCCTCCCTACCTGTGGTAGGTGCTGTTCCTGTGTGTCTGTTTTGTTTTCAGGAGAGGACTCTGGCCTGATTGGACAGCAGCTGAGGAGGGAAGCTGTTAAAAGGGTGACTGCTGGAGGATCTCTCGCTCTCATTTCCTTTGTCTCAACTCCCAGCCAGACCTGTATTTCGTGGAGGCTCTTTTGTGTTACAATTGTGGAAACTGTGTGAATTTTGGTTTGTCTTCAGGACGAATAGTTTAAGTTTTAAGAGCAGTCTGGTAGGTAGGGGTGGGCAGCTATTTCATTTCAGACTTTTCTCGTGTTTTGGATAGGGAGGCAGGTAAGACCCCCTGTATTTTATTTACTACATTTTTGTTCGTGAAGTAAGGTAGTTTCAAATAAGAGGTTTTGTTTGTTGTTTTGGCCTGTGCCCACCCTGAAGCTGACTACCATTTACTGTATGTTTGAAAATAAATTAATTTAAGACTGCTAACTGTTGTGATTGTTGGTTTTCTTGGGGAGTTGGGGCAGAGGAAGGGAGCACTTTATGTTGCGTCCGGCATACCCCTAGGCCGGGTCGTAACATATGTTTAGAAGAGGAATAAAATCAAATTGTGTAATACATTTGAGCTTCATATACTTAAATTGAACAACCCCAGTTTCCCCTTTTTTTTCAGTGTAGACTTGGCCTACATGTATGTCACGGCTTATGTTGATTAATCAGACAGGGTCAACATATGGCCGAAAGATGATGACAGGGTACCTGTCTGCAATGGGAGTGGTTGCTGCTGAACGTTGGGTTGGGAAGATTTTGAGAACAACCCATTGTCCTTATCACGACACGCACAAACGTAAAGGTGTCTTTTGTGAGCCTTTAATGTTGTGGTATTTGGTATTTTGCATTCTATTCGTTAACTATTACTTGCTTCCCCCCCACGAGGCCGCAATGTTTGAAGTCCAAGCAGTTTAAATGACCTGGGGCCTCATGTATCAACACTTGCGTGGGACTCATACCAGAAACGAGCGCACGCAAGGTCCGTCACTCTGAAAAAAATCCGTATGTATCAAGGTGTGCGGGCGCCAAAAGCCAGCCTGGCAGCCTGTCCAGTGGCGTCAGTGCAAAACGAAAACGCTTGGAGTGGGAGAAAGTTTGTGAGAGGGTGAACGCGGTGGGTTCCAAGACACGCACCCCCGCGGAGATTAAAAAAAAAGTGGTCGGACCTCAAGGTGGAGGTCAAGCGGCGTACAGCTGCCCTCCGGAGGAGTACCGGCCAGACAGGTGGGGGTCCGGGGGAGGAGACCCTCACGCCGTTTGAGCAGCGGGTGGTGGCGATTATTATTATAGGGTAAGTGGCGTGTCACACAAATGTCCACATGCTTTGCCATCCCCCTGAGCAAAAGACGTATATTAGACGTCTAGTCTAAGTTTATACTTCATTTCAACGTCGGGATTCAGTCTATTTTTAGACGTGATTTATACTTCGCCCTTAACTTCATTTTTCGATAACTTTTTATGCAATAAACAACTGTAATGTGCATAACTGACCTCTAAACACTGGATTACATTACCTATGATACCGTGGAGAGAGATGTAAACGCAACAGATACACAGAAGCAGGAATTGAACTGAACCAATTTTTATTGTGTCACAGAAATCAATGTGTCGGTTGGTCGCCGGCTTGCGGAGCCCGTGGCAGCCCGTCCACCGGCTCGGAGTCGTCGGCCAGGACCAGCGGCATTCGGGCCACCCCGGCCCCCGGCCCCAGCACCAGCACCAGCATCAGCACCAGCGCGCCGACAAGTGGTGGAGCGTCCACCAGCCACGGCGCTTCCGCTGGACCACCCGGACGCAGTGGAAGGGTCCTCACGGAGGCGGTCCTGCAATCGCAGGAAGAAATCATCAGGGGGATCGCGGGGATCAACGAGCAGCTGGACCGGCTCGTAAATGTCCTCGAGCGTCTCGTGGAGAAAATAAATTCATTTGGCTCATTGAACTGTGTATTCACTTCTTACCCATTCACACTGTGGCGATGAGATTCTCCCGCGCGAGGACGGCGGCCCGGCAGGGATCAGCTCGCATCCCTCCGTCTGCTGCTGGTTCGTCATGTGGGGCGACGTGCTGCTCGGCCACGGGGATGTGGTGCACGCTTGTCACATAGTGAGTCACCAAACACCGCCACACAGCGTCGCCAAAGTGCCGTCAACGCAAGTATCAGCTCAACGCACTTCTACACCACCTCCTCACTTTGCGTTGATTAGCGCTGGAACCGACGCTCGTTTCGCAATGATAAATCTGGACGTGTGCGCCAATCTTGGCGGATGCAAGGTTTTCTGGCGCCGCCAGCGTTGATACATGAGGCCCCAGATGATTCTGGGAATATGGCCACATTGTCATCATCAGTTATATACAGGAGCGTATACCTTTGAAAAAAGCATCAGCTAACCGTTAATTACAGACAAGTACAACCTACCTAACTATTATTTCTTTTGATATTATTACACTATAGCTGCCACTCATCACTCATTCAAACACATCTTGGCTCTCTCACTCACACACACGCGCGCATGCACGTGTCAAGAAAAGTTCATCAGGTTTTCCCATTGTTTGAACTCCAGTTTAATTTGCACTTCATGTTTCACTACAGCATCCACCTATGTACCACTGTAAAGGCTAATGAGCTTACATCAAGGAGCCTTAATGAGTCAGCTAGTCATGTGATATGCATTGCCTAGCATCCTTTGGTCTTAGCAACTTCTCCAAACAAACGAAAAAAAAATGTGGTACCGACCTGGAAAATTCTGGCAATTTTATCCCCAATCATGTTGCTCTCCTTAAGTGTTAGCCTTTTGTTTCCTTTAAATAGGATACAACTCGAATCAATGGCGCAGATGAATTGTTACCGCACCAACTCCATGCCGAAGTTAATTGAGGTACACAGATCCTCTGCTTCCTGCGTGTCCTGCCCATGTGATTATTTTTTTCCAGGCCACATACTGAAAAAAGTACAAATTGCAATAATTGAGAATTGAAAGTGGAAATATAAAAAATTCAAGGTCTTTCCCTAAAGCTAACTTTTGGGTAAGAAAATGCAATGGTTTTCTTTTAAACTGGTACTTTAATCGGTTGACCAATGTTCGTTTTAGAAATGGAAATAAAAAAAATGCCCTGTTTTTTGTTTTCGGACATGCGTTTCAAAATTGAAAATAGAAAAAATGGAAGGTACATGGACCTCATACCAAACCCTGGTGACGCTTACTGATTCATCTTTAAGAAAGGTTCAAAGGTAGACTGAAACAAAACCATGAACTACAGTCCAATAAAAGTAGCTGAACTAAACTTTAATAAGTTGTGTCTTCAAGACATGCCAGGAGTGGTGCGAGGAAGAAAGCATTTTTCTTTTTCAGTGGCACATATATCTGATTGTCGTCAGCATAACAGTGGAAGGAGATGCCATGCTTTATCAGTATGGAGCTCAGGATGGAGGGGCAGTAAATTCAAAGAAAACAGCAGGGGCCCAAAAATCGACCCTTTTGGGACCCTGTACGGCAGTGGAGCAGAGCTGGGGCCTTATGTATCAACGCTTGCGGCGCAAGAAAACCTTGCGTATGCCAAAATCGGCGCACACGTCCAGATTTATCATCGCGAAACGAGCGTCGGTTCCAGCGCTAATCAACGCAAAGTCAGGAGGTGGTGTAGAAATTGGCGTTGAGCTGATACTTGCGTTGACTGTGATTCCCACTTTGGCGACGCTGTGTGGCGGTGTTTGGTGACTCACTATGTGACAAGCGTGCACCACATCCCCGTGGCCGAGCAGCACGTCGCCCCACATGACGAACCAGCAGCAGACGGAGGGATGCGAGCTGATCCCTGCCGGGCCGCCGTCCTTGCGCGGGAGATCCCCGCGATCCCCCTGATGATTTCTTCCTGCGATTGCAGGACCCCCTCCGCGAGGACCCTTCCACTGCGTCTGGGTGGTCCAGCGGAAGCGCCGCGGCTGGTGGACGCTCCACCGCTTGTCGGCGCGCTGGTGCTGATGCTGGGGCCGGGGGCCGGGGTGGCCCGAATGCCGCTGGTCCTGGCCGACAACTCCCAGCCGGCGGACGGGCTGCCGCGGGCCGGGGTTCCGCAAGCCGGCGACACGGCCGACACATTGATTTTTGTGATACAATAAAAAATATTTGTTCATTTCAATTCCCGCTTCTGTGTATCTGTTGCGTTTACATCTCTCTCCACGGTATCATAGGTAATGTAATCCAGTATTTCGAGGTCAGTTATGCACATTACAGTTGTTTATTGCATAAAAAGTTATCGAAAAATGAAGTTAAGGGCGAAGTATAAATCCCGTCTAAAAATAGACTGAATCCCGACGTTGAAATGAAGTATAAACTTAGACTAGACGTCTAATATACGTCTTTTGCTCAGTGGGATGACAAAGCATGTGGACACGCCACTTACCCTACAATAATAATCGCCACCACCCGCTGCTCAAACGGTGTGAGGGTCTCCTCCTCCGGACCCCCACCTGTCTGGCCAGTACTCCTCCGGAGGGCAGCTGTACGCCGCTTGACCTCCACCTTGAGGTCCGACCACTTTTTTTTTAATCTCCGCGGGGGTGCGTGTCTCGGAACCCACCGCATTCACCCTCTCGCAAACTTTCTCCCACTCTAAGCG